AATCGCGTTGTTCCATCCGCCTTAGGTACCATTACATATGGAGATGACCAGGGACTATTAGACTCTTCTATAACACCTAAGTYTATCATAGATTGTACTTCCTCCTTAACTTTYCCGATCTTGGCTTGTGGTATTGGGTATGGTCTTTGACGTACTGGAGTTTCGTCCTCTTTCATCTCKATGTTATGCTCWATGACTGTTGTCTTTCCTGGTCTATTGCTGAAGACTGTTTTGAAATTATCCACCAACATGGTCAACTGTACTCTTTGTGCTTCAGTTATGTCTTTGTTGATATTCAAGTCCTGCTCATGGTCCTCCTCATTTGACCAAGTTACATCAGTATCCTCCCCTTCTTCATCTCCGATAACATCAGTTATTAACATAAAGCTGTCCATGCTTCTTCGCTTGAACTCCTTGAGCAGGTTGACATGATAAACCTTCAACTTTCTCCCTTTGTGGTTAGTTTCTGTCTCATAGTCTACTGGTCCCACTCTTCTCACTACCTTGAATGGACCTTGCCACTTGGCTTGGAGAGCATTAGAACTACTTGGTAACAGTAGTAGCACTTCTTGGCCAGGGGTGAACTCTCTAACTCTGGACTTTGTGTCATACCATCTCTTTTGTCGCTGCTGTGCTTCTTTCATGTTTTCTCTCGTTAGATCGGTCATAGATGATAATCTTTCTCTCATGGTAACAATATGAGATACAACACTTTTAGGTCCAGACACTGTTCCTGTCCATGTCTCTTTCATAACATCTAAGGGTCCTCTAACCTTTCTTCCATAAAGTAGCTCGAATGGGGAAAACCCAGTCGATTCTTGTGGAACTTCTCGGTATGCGAATAGCAGATACGGTATCAGCTGGTCSCAATTTAGTGGGTCACTGGCTACAAACTTCCTTATCATAGCTTTAAGCGTCCCATTTAGTCGTTCCACCATACCGTCTGTCTGAGGGTGATATGGAGCTGTTGTTATACCTTTGATTTGAAGTAGCTTGTAAATTTCTTTCAACAGCTTGGATGTAAAGTTAGAACCTTGGTCAGTTAGTATTTCTTGTGGTATGCCAACTTTAGAGAAAAGCTTAATAAGCTCATCTGCAATCTTCTTTGCTTCTATACTTCTTAGTGGTATCGCTTCCGGATATCTAGTGGCGTAGTCACAGATTACTAAAATGTACTTGTTTCCAGCTTTGCTTCGGTCCAATGGGCCAACTATATCCATTGCGATCCTGGTGAATGGCTCGTCTATCACTGGCATTGACTGCATTGGTGCTCTGAACTTTGTTCCATGCTTAGATGTTTTCTGACACGCTTCACAGCTCTTGCAATAGGTTTTTACATCTTTTGTCATGTTTGGCCAGAAGAATCGTTGTCTTATTCGCGCCAGAGTCTTCTTTATGCCCATGTGTCCAGCCAATGGTATGTCATGTGCAATTTTTAACACGTTTTGCCGACACTGTCTTGGAAGAATTAACTGCTCTATTGGCTCTGGGAGTTCTTTACTTGACACTTGTCTATACATGATGCCTTCTTTGTATATAATCTGTATCTCGTCGTCCTTGCTCTGTTTGGCTGCTTGTATTCGCAGGCTATTCAAAGTGGAATCTGCCATTTGTAGGTCTTTAATGGTTTTAGGATCCACATCAGGTGACTCCGACTTATCCAATGACTCAGTTTTCATTTGTGAGTATTGTTTTCTCTGCTGTCTTTTCTGATTTCTTGATTTCTTCGTCTTTACTTTGTTTGGTCCATCCATGAAACTTCCTATGTCCATTTGACCGAATTCTTTGGAAATGTCAGGCAGTACGATGTCGTCTAAATTTCTCGGTTGTACTTTGCATCTCTTCTCTTCTTTTGTTTCTTCCTCCCTTTGTCTCTTGTCACGCCTTGCTTGTGCTCTCGTTACTACTAGGCCATCTTCTACCTCTGGTCGTACTTTGCTTAGGAGGTCGTAGAACTGTGGGAAGTCTTTACCCAGCAAAGCNAACCCGCGTGTTCCGGACAATATATGGATATGGATATTATGATATTTAGATATTTAGACAATTCTCATAATTTTTGCAAAAGGCTGTAACTCCAAAAGAGAAGTAAAAAAGGTATCAGATAACTCCTTTTCGACCTTTTCTGGAGTAGGTCTAAACACCAAAAATATTAATAGTACCTGGGGGAGTAATTTAGACTCCTCTTCTAAGARCAATTTTGAACCCCTTTTGGACTAATTTTCACTCTATATTTCCGAGTTCATTTAAAAACAACTCGCACTGAAGATTGATCGAACTCTCAAGAWAGTTACTCCACCAGTAGAGTAACTCTAACTCCATTGATAGAGTTATTTCACTGAAAATAACAGTGACATTGTCAACCGCTTCCTCCCTCACAATTAATCAGTAGAATTATTATCGATAATACATGATTGCCTTAAGTGTTTACTCACAGTATGCGAATGCTTTCAAGTCCTCGAAAGGAAGAGAGTGGTATTCTTGTCAAAGATGAATTTTCGATTGATCTGGAAAGAAAACTTCAGCTGTTTTGCACGTGTATCTCAAGTATAATAATAACTGTTAAATGTTATTATGGGCTGCACATTACGTCRTAGCCGCCATTTTGGATTGAAATAACAGCATTTATTTACAGTCARCTCTCTCGTAAGCGACCACCTCGGGATCAGGAAAAAGTGGTTAACATATAAACTCTGTAAAAAACTTTCTCGTAGACGACCATCTCTCGTAAACGACCACTTTTTCCTGAGGTGGTCGCTTACGTGAGAGTTGACTGTAGTTTCCCTTGTTCATTCATTTAACATGGCGGCGATAGCGTGAATTGCTGTAGGGATTTTTGGTCATTAGTATAGGTTGCAACYAAGAAGTATGTTTAGTATGTTTATGTAGGTAGAGAGCTTCGGGATAGAAAGGTTTGTTTACTAGTTACTTACAAAGAATATACATTCTCTGGAAGCTTTCTTATATCCTCACTTGGAAGCCGCTGAACAACACAGCGGGCGTGTATGTTATCATTGACGTCCTTTGCGCATGTGCAGGCTGGAGTGCAGTTATTAGTCGACCATGATGATGTGGGGACAATCGTAATAATCACGGCTAAAAAGGCCAACATCTGTAACACAAAAAACACAGAAAGAAACTTAAATTCAAATCCTTCAAAACAAGTACACTCGTAGGTCAAAATATGGACATAACTACACTATAACATTCTCGATATACCGATTGGTTGAAAGATAGTGAATCATATCTGTCACACAAAAACACAGAAACAAACTTAGATTCCAATCCTTCAAACAAGTACACTCGTAGCCTCAAAATATGCAACACAACTACACAACATTCTCAATACTGATTGGTTGAAAGATAGCGAATCTTTTAAGGCAAATATGCATCCAATCTGCGCGATTTTCACAAACCCCAAAAATCACCATTTTTGATTTTGAAGCAATCAGAAAGCAACTTAATTTCAACGACAAGTATTTTTTTAAAGAAAAACAAGCGATCGCAAAGGTTCCTCGGATAAAAGTGGGCGTTTAATGTCAATGCTTGATCTCACTACCRACGGATGGAAACAGATTGCGACTAGGTATTTGAAGTCACCTCACTTTCCACATACAGTCAATTGAAAAAAGGTTGTCCGTCGAGATACCTACTAATACACATATATAATGAGATTCATAAAATGCCTAATGAGATTCATAAGGGGCATACACGTTTTTATAGATTAAGAATTGTTGGTTTAACCAAACTAATGAGCGTAGTGTTTTACGTTATTATTGCTTCAACTCATTGGTTTACTACTCAATATAACATACATACTTCCAAAATAAGCTAAAATAGAAATAACTTTAGCTTTCCAATCTAGAAGATACTGTACCAAAATAACATATAAAGCATTAAATAACAAAGACGCTAATTAGTGAAATTAATCCTTGGGTAGAAACCTAAACAAGCACTCTTATGAGATCGCTTTAAGAGATGTTCAAATAAAAAAAATTGTTAGGTATTTTATGAATATCATTATATATGTGTATAAGTAGGTATCTCGATGGACAACCTTTTTGCAATATTGACTATATATGAAAAATCTAGAACGCGACCGCATTGAATGCCGGTCAACCATGGTCCTTTAACGCAAATTGTAGGATCAGTATCATATGTTTTGGGAATCAAGATCACACTGATGGCAACATAGAAGCTATTTAAACCTGTTTCAAGTCACGAAAAAAATCTTAGAATCATAATTTCAAAATAAGGATAACATTTTGACTCAATTACTGGGATACCACGTGAAAGCATAAATACCTCCAGTCGTTGAAATCTCATTGCAGTCATAAATTCTCTTTTTGATGCCGTTACATAGGGCTTTTTCGTCATGAATGTAGCGTGCATCAATTAACTGATCAAACGTTCTAGAATGGCTTTATTTTCGTCATGTGTGTTACGTTTTCTTTCCTCATCAGCAGTAATAATAAACCGAAACCTGTGCGCTTAAATAGTTAACGTGGCGGTTAATAACCGAGAGTGGTTCTACCCATAGAGATCACGTCTTAAGTGCTATAGTGGAGTGGTATATTCAAATATATGCCTTGGGGCGTCAACCATCAAGTGCATGGATCCATTTAATCCTATTGATTTGCTTTGCTTGTCAGTTTTCTTAACATTCTTACTTCCTCTCAAAGGAAAAACAAGTTTGATAAATACTAAGTGAAAACCTTCACCTCATTTATGATCATGAAAAGCTTTGATTTAATCAATTTGCGACCATCTATGTCACTCTTCTTTGTTGCTGGTTTATATGCCTTAAAGTAGTTAGCTCGGCGACCCTAATTGTCTTTTAGAACAGTGATAAAGATCGTAGAATTTTTTCATTGTTTATCAAAGAGGGTTAAACTATCATTGCATGCTTTGGAAATAACAGTTGATAACATTAATTGTGTAATTTGAATTGTTCTGCGTTTCTGACCACCAAGTGATTTATCTTATGAAACCCCATGTTTAGTTTGTCTATGCGTTTGCGTTTAAAAACCACCGAAACGATGGATGATACAAACAAAGATACTGTTTAAAGACATCCTGGTATGTGTGATGACCGCAGATCTCTCTCTCTCTCTCTCTCTCTTTACATACATACATACATGATTATTTTGCATTCTTACTCAGTTTACAATTTGCATTTGATGTGCATGTTTCTAATTACATAATCTTATATTTTGTATGACACTGACTGAAACAAAGAATATAGAAAGAATAGTGTCTAAGTTAACTCGAAGGTTTTTTCGAGTTAGACACTAGATACTTTTAGTTATATTTGGATAAGAGCAAATTAAAATACAAAAGGAAAAATAGATATCATATATCATATGAGCAGCAGAAGTGAATGAACAATTTTAGATCTTTTTATAGCTTAAATTAGTTGTTTTTCTCCCAATGAGACAATAATTAACACAGGTATTGATTTATAATTGATAAGAGTGTTATTGACACAACACGCAACAAATATCTCTATTGATACCACATATCTGTATTCTGTATCTATTTATTTATTTATTTACTTATTTTTTGAAACTGGAAGGTTCRMAGCTTCCGTCCTCTTGAGACGATGCCTTTAGCAGTAATTCTTGTCAWTAAACAACCTAAAAGCACTCTTATTGTTTGCTTTGCCCTAGTAAAGGTCTTTAAGAT